CTTTGTACGAAAAAGAAATGAAAATGGTGATATTGTAAGATACAAGGCCCGATTAGTTGCACAAGGGTTCTCACAAAGACCCGGTATTGATTATGAGGAGACATACTCTCTCGTGGTGGATGCAACTACTTTTAGATTTCTAATCAGTCTGGCAATAAGAGAAGGACTTTATTTACGCTTGATGGATGTAGTCACGGCTTACTTATATGGCCCACTAGATAATGACATATACATGAAACTCCCAGAAGGATTTAACCTGCTAGAAGCAGCAAATGCAAGTTCTCGAGAACAGTACTCAATAAAATTGAATAGATCTCTATATGGATTGAAACAATCAGGGCACATATGGTACAATTGACTAAGTGAGTACTTGTTGAAAGAAGGGTATAAGAATGACCTTATATGCCCATGCATTTTTATAATGAGATTTGTATTAGGATATGTCATAATTGTAGTATATGTTGATGATTTAAATAATATTGGAACTCCTGAAGAGATTTCAATAAAATTGGAGTGCTAAAGGAAGAATTTGAAATGAAAGATCTTGGAAAAAACTAAATTTTGCTTAGGGATACAAATTGAACACCTAAAGAATGGAATCATTGTGCACCATTAAACATACATAGAAAAGGTTTTTAAAAGATTTTCTATGGATACAACACATCCACTAAGTAGCCCTATGGTTGTTAGAGCACTTGATGTAGAAAAAGATCCCTTTCAACCTCGGGAGAATGACGAAGAAATTCTTGGTCCTAAAGTACCATATTTAAGTGCGATAGGGCATTAATGTATCTTGCTAGTCATACACGACCCGATATATCATTTTTAGTAAATTTGTTAGCAAGATTTAGCTCATGCCCCACCCGAAGGCATTGGAATGGGGTTAAGCATGTACTTCGTTACCTTCAAGGTAAGAAAGATATGGGTTTGTTTTCTCTAACCTATCCAAAGAAGGTTTGATTGGTTTTGCAGATGCAAGGTATATGTCTGATCCTCATAATGCTAGATCACAAACTGGATATGTGTTTATGTGTGGAGGTACTTCTATTTCTTGGAATTCTATGAAACAAGCAATTGCAGCTACTTCTTCTAACCATGTAAAAATTTTGGCAATCCATGAGGCTAGTCGTGAATGTGTATGGTTAAGGTCTGTAATTCAACATATACAGACAGATTGTGGCATCAACTCCGAGAAAGAAGTTCCAACAACTTTATATGAGGATAATGCATCATGCATCGCCCAGCTTAAGGAAGGGTATATCAAAGGTGATCGAACAAAGCACATTTTACCAAAATTCTTCTACACTCATAATCTCCAGAAGAATGGTGATATCAAAGTCCTTAAGATTCGCTCGAGTGAAAACTTGGCAGATTTGTTTACTAAGGCGCTCCCAAACGCCACATTCAAAAAGTTATCTTACAGCATTGGATTGCATCGTCTTAAAGATCTCAAGTGATGTAGTCACCAAGGGGAGTTAATGCGCGCTGCACTCTTTTTTCCTTAACCATGATTTTTCCCACTAGGTTTTCCTAGTAAGGTTATTAACGAGACAGCATCTTATGCGCATTATAAATTATTTTGTACGGGTTTTCCTAGTAAATTTTAGTTATTGTTTAATATATAGTCATCCAAGGGGGAGTGTTATGAAATATCTAAATGTGGATGACTATTATCCATGTACAATCTAGAACATTCTAGAGTTGGGTATTTGATCTAATTGATGAAGGACCCCCAGATAATATACATGTATATATATTCCGTATTAGATGGAATAATATACAGAACATAACAAAATTTCTCTCATATCTCTCTTTATTTCTCTTCCATATTTAACACATATGTTATTTTAAATTTTGAAATTTGAAATTTAATTTGAAAATGAAATCTATCAAATGCCATTAATGACTAACGGTCGTTAACTCCATTAGTCATTAAGATTAAATCATGACACGTGTCATGATATGATTGGTTCATTTTAATCATTTATTTTAATTTATAAAAAAAAAATTTCTCTCGATTTTTGTGACGAAAATTTTTCGGGTAAAGTTTTGGGGGTCATTTTGACCCTTTTATGGCTACAAATTAAGCTCGCAATGGCAAAAAAATAGTGTAAATACCCCGTTTTGTGTGTTAAAAAAATATCTCGATCATCGTGCTGTTATTTTTTAACCATGAAAATTGATCGGGTAAGGTTTTGGGGATCATTTTGGTCCTTCATGGGTACAAATTAAGCTCGAAATTGGCAGAAAAAAAAAGGTAAATGCTCCATTTTATGTGTCGAAAAAATTTTGATTAGCCTATCGTTATTTTTTAACCATGAAAATTGATTGGGGGTAAGGTTTAGGGGGTCATTTAGACTTTTTATGGGTTAAAATTAAGCTCGGAATTGACAAAAAAAATAACGTATATGCCCCGTTTTGTATGTTGAGATCGTAATTTTTTTGCCAGAAAAATTGCAAAACGGATCATATACGTTTTTTTTTTTTTCAATTCTGAGCTTACTTTGAACTCATAAAGGATCAAAATGACCCCCAAACCTTACTCAATCTATTTCCATGGTTAAAAAATAACGACACGCTAATCGAAATATTTTTCGACACACAAAACGGAGCATTTACGTTATTTTTTTGCTAATTTTGAGCTTAATTTGATTCCATAAAGGATCAAAATGCCCCCCAAAACTTTACCGAGCAATTTTCGTCACAAAAATTGAGAAAAAAATATTTTTTTATTCATTAAAATAAATGATTATTGTGTATTAATTTTAAAAAGTAATAGCATTTGGTGAAATAATTTTCCAAAGTAATGGCATTTGGTGAAATAAGAATTGCATTAACAGAGAACTAACGTCCATATGCAATTAATGGCACGAGGTGTCATTGTACTGTTTGTCAGTGGCATTTGGTGAATTTTGAAAACCTTGATGGCATTTGGTGAATTTATTAAGTAATCAGTGGCATTTGATAAAATAGCCGAAGTTTTTATCAGTTCTTTTTGTAATGCCTTTATGTTTTTTAGTAATGCATGTTCTTTGTTAAATACAAACATGTTCTTTTTCAAACACATGAATGTTCTTTCTACTTTCTTTTTGTTTAACTGGGTGTACCATGCGCATAGTACACTCGGGTGTACTGATCAGGCATTAGCCGCTTTTAATTACTTAAGTTACTCGTAGTTCATTTTCATCAAGAAAGCAAGACGGGGATTATAAACAAACAAATAAATATTAGGAATAGAATGAATTGACATTTTAAATGGGATAATTCAACGACAAAATTGGATGATGTCAAATAATTGTTGGTTTTTACATGAAAAAATGATGTATTTCCACTTTAATTGTTTTTTTTAGGCCGTTGCGTTATTGTAGGCTTGTAGCAATGTCATATCCTTCCAATTTATGACTTTTACACAAAATGCTTTTTCCATTTTCAATTATTCTTCTTTATTTTAATGTAAAATATACTAAAACACCCAAAAAGTAATAGAAGGAGACAATGCAATGAAAAAGGGAGAGTATAATACTCATAAAATTATTTATGTTACATACGAAGTGTTTGGGTCCAATTCAGTCAATCTAATTGGGCCTAGTCCAAATAACTCAACTCAAGCCCAAAGCAAGGTTCAACTCTCCAAAGACATGCTAAGGTCAACAAAAGTCCAGTCAACGTGGTCAGCCCACTTGGTTTCAAGGGCCCAATTCTCCCTAATTGAATCAAGGTATAAAAGCCATCAATTACATCATTTTACATTCATGCAAACAAAGCCTCACGCACAAAAACTCTTGCATAGCATTCTCTCTCCATTGAACTGACTTTAGCATCGGAGGGGCCTTCCTCAGCAACCACCCCCGAGGCTAGTTTACGTGTTCTTTGCTGTGCAGAAAATCCTCGGCTCCAACATTCTTTGGACCGAGACTCGACTTCCCCATCTAAATTGGGCCTACCGAAGGTCCCATTGTTTTCGTACCGAAATAATTTGGCGCCGTCTGTGGGGAATGATACAGAAAATCACGCCAAGCAAAATCCATCACTCCTAGAAAAAACATGACTAAGAGTGGAAAGATCATCAAGAATGCCAAAAAAGAGGGACGGCCCAGCCCCCTCAAGGAGGAGCAGGGACATGATCACGGTGAGAGAACATTAACCGATTTTCCCTTCACCGGAACCGTCCTCTCCTTCCTCCGAGGCTCCCATATCTCAGGAAAGGGAGGCCTCAAGAGCTCCCATTCCTCAAGAAAGGGAAGCTTCCAGGAACTCGCCTTCGCACCATACTCGGCAGCCGGCAGCTTCGCCGAGGCCGAGTGGGTCCAATGCAAGGAACTCTCCGCCGCGCAATAGTGTGCACTCTATGTCACAGCCGAGAGAGACCCCTCCTTCGGGGCCCTCTACGGAGAAAGTGGCGAGGGTCGTGGCAGTCTGCTTGGAGTTCCTCAAAGCCCAAGGGGCTCCATTCCAGCTCACGCCCACCGAGTCTCCGTCTCTTCAGCCGAGAACCCTGAAAAGGAGGATCGGTCAAGAGACGAGTAGAAAAGTTCCACCCAATCAAAGGCTCGGACCAAAGTGGCAGGAGGACACTTGGAACTCCAGTAAGGAGAGGAAGAGGAACCCTCAGTTCTTCGATCAGTCCGGGGCTCAGAATTCCATGAGTTTTCGGAGCAGCAACACTACCTCCGAATTCACGAAGTCCGCTCGCCGAAGCGTTCACGAACGCGTAGGCTCAAGGGAGGTGGACGTACGCAGTCGTCTCACCTTCCCAGGGGAGACACCGGCGCACCCTGAACTGTCTCGACTGGGGACAAGAACCACATCCACCTCTATGAGAGGGAGAAGCGAGGTCCCCTCAGCCAGGGACAAAGGGAAGGCCGTCATGGTCCCTACGAGCTCGCCCTTCCAAAGTTGGATATTGGAAGAGCATGTGCCCACGGTGAAAATATCGGCGCACATTACTTACGACCGGTACCTCGGACCCAAAGGATCACATTGCCTCATACGAAGGGCACATGTATCTGAACCCCAAGTCTGAGGCTACCTGGTGTAAGTATTTTCCAACGACCCTCAAAGGTGTTGCACAAACGTGGATCACCAAAGGGGTAAAAGAAGGCTCAATTTCTAGTTGGCAGGATCTCTCCAACAAGTCTAAGAGCAAGTTTTCTACAGCTAATTGCCGAGAGAAGACAACTGCAGAGCTGATGAGCCTGCATCAAGCTGAGGATAAAAGCCTCCGTGACTATCTGACTCGCTTCAGCAACGAGTCATCCAGAATTACAAATCTAGACCAGGGCCTTGCCGTATTTGCACTACGGAACGGTCTACAAGCTGGAAAGTTCCTTGACTTCATGGTCATGCATCCCCCGCAGACCTTGGAGGAAGCTTTGGACGGCTCGGATAAGTTCATCCGAGCCGAAGAATGGAATAAAGCGAAATCTCAGTCTCATTCTGGGGCTGGGAAATCGAGAGGGCAACTGCCCGAGGGCCCGGCACCGAGGAAAGGGAAGGCCAAGGCCTCAGAACCGTCTTCGGCTGCCGAGCCGAAGAAAGAGAAGTTTGACCCTTATGCAGGGAGATACGACTCATACACTCCCCTTGCTCTTCCCCGCACTAAGATCTTTAGCACGACTAAGGACGAGGGGAGGTTCAAGAAGCCTCGGTAGCTACCTCCATGGAATCAACAAAAGGGCAAGGACCGATGGTGCGAATTCCATGAATCTCCTGGACATCGCACCGAGGACTGCCTTCAGCTGAAGGATCAGATCGAAGATCTGGTTCGAAAAGACTTCTTGAAAAATACCTCGCGGACCGTCGCGAGGAAAAGAAAGCCGAGAGAAATTCTCGGCAGGATCTGGACTTTCTCCGGAAAAAAGACAAACAACAAGACAAGGACACCCTTGACATCCTTGTTATTTTCGGAGGAACCTCCCGAAGCGCAGCCAAACGTCACTTAAGGGGTTTAACCCATCAAGTAAATCATGCTGAGCTCCGGCTACCTCAATCTCCGGTGCCGAACATCCTGTTAACAGCCGCAGACTGCGAGGGGGTGGTGTATCCCCATGATGACCCATTAGTAATAGTGATGGGCATCGTAAACCGCAACGTCTGGCGAACCCTCGTCGACGACGGCAGCGGGGCGAATATTCTCTTTCGGGGAGCATTTGACCAGCTGAAGATGGAAGCCAAACACCTGACTCTGGTACCTTACCCGGTATCCGGGTTCAACGGCTCTTCATCATATCAAGATGGGAAGATCCTTCTTCCTGTCACCATCAGCAAGGGCCGAGCAGTGCGGAGAATCATGGCTGAATTCCTAGTCATGGATACCTGATAAGTTGTGTTTTGTGCATATTTATTAGCTTATTTTTGGTTGGTTTTATTAGCTTAGTCGAGTGTTTTAGTCCATTTTGGTGTAATTTGGTTTAGTTTCGATGATTCGATGCTTTTATGGGTAGTTTTGTTGTTTTTGATGTATTTCAAGATTAACGGAGTAATTGAGTGGAAATGAAGCAAAACGTTGATGAAATACTTGACAAATATGACACCTGTTCACTATTATGCTCATAAATTTTGATATACAAATGATAATGGAGTGATCAAATTGCATTGGAAAGTAGACTTGAAGACCTTTCCAACGATATATTACACGCCTCAAACGGAGCTCCGGATATGAAGTTATAACTGATTTAAGATGAGTGATACGCGCAGCAGAGCAGGCACGTCCGTGCCCAGCAGTCAGGCACGTCCGTGCCTGGAAGACAGACTCTGCAGCGTTTTTTATATCTAGAGAGGCATGTCCGTGCCGATGGAGAGGCACGTTCGTGCCTCCTGGGATTCTTGTGCGCCAAGGCTTGGCCGATTTTTTTTTTTCTTTTTGGGCTTGTATATATATCTTTTTAGCCTTGTTTTTCTTTTTTATCTTTTATTCATTAAGTTTATTTTATTTTTCAATTCCTATTATTAAGAACTAGTTCTCTATTTTTATTTCCCTTACTTTTGTAATTCAAGATTCAAGCTTTCTACCTTCAATTCAATTCAAGATTCGATATTTTCTTTTAATCTCTTTATTTATTCATGTTTTCTTTATTATTTATTGTTCTTGTTTTTTTTTTGTTAATATGTTAGAGTAGATTGTTGTTCTAGATTTAGGTTGAACCCTAATATGGTTAATACTTGATTTATTCTTTTAAATTCTCAATTAATTATTTATATTGTTCATGCTTAATTGATTGCGCTTATGCCAATACTAGATTAGAGATAATTAGTATTGTTATTATTCCATTGTTTTAATCGCAGCGAGAGTTGGGTTTTAACGGATTTGAATAGATCAATTAAGGGTTTGATATTCATCACGAGAGTAGTTGAATGGATAATTAGGAAGTTAGAGTAATGTGCTTAATGTCTCTAATTTGCATGATTCCATGAGAATAGGCTTGATTGTGGGTTAGAGAAGCCATTGATACTCGAGAGAGGTCCTTGGTATTATTTAGGGATTACTTTTCCCTTGAGCATATAATTAATTGATTGGGGTAGGAATTTATCTTGTATTGATTTTATTAGCGGTAATACTTAATTCTAGAGTCTTTATTATTATTAGATTTATTTTGTTAGTTCATAGTATATATTATTCAACTCATTATTTTATCTTGATTCGGCTATTGTAATTCATAGAAACCATTGTTTAGTCTAACCTTCTCTGTGGGATCGACCCTGACTTACCCTACTACATATTAGGAGGTTTAGTTAGGTTTTTGTTATTTTTGTTAGGTGTGTGACCGCCTACCAATACCCCCTCTGCATATAACGTGATCATGGGGAGACCCCTCATTCACGGCATCCAAGGAGTTGTCTCGACGTACCATCAAACGATGATATATGTTTCGGACGAAGGACGCTCCGAGAAAATAAAGGGCAGCCAAAAGGAGGCCCGAAAATGTAATCACCTCAAACCATCCAAAGGTCGTCGCAGCGACAATGATGATGAGGAAGAAAAAGAACAGGACCGCAGCGCGAAAAAGCCTAAAGGCTTAAGTGCTTCGGCCCAAGGCACCCCATTCGAAGAAAAACCTCCAGGGGGTGAAAAGGCTAGTTCTTCAGCTGAGCCGAAAGACTTAGAAAATCAGCCAAATTCTGGAAAGCCTGTTGATATTGACAGCAGGCCGGAATCAGAAGAATCCAGTGCCAAAGCCATGGAACTGGATAATCAGAATGAATCAATAGAGTTGGCCGAGGGAAATTCAGAAAGATGTGTCAGCATCGAACTAGGGCTTGAGCCGAACGTCCGTGCTGAACTTATCCAACTCCTCCGAGCCAACAGTGATGTGTTCGCATTCTCGGCAGAAGAAATGCCCGGGATTAATCCGAACCTCATCTCTCTCAAGCTTAACGTCAACCCAGCATGTCGACCCATTAAGCAAAAGAAGCAGAATTATTCCGCACAAAAGAACCAAGACATTGCAGAAGAAGTCAGAAAGCTCTTAGATGCTGGGTTCATTGAGCCTTGTCAATATCCTGAGTGGCTGGCCAATGTGGTTATGGTTCAGAAGGCAAACAGTAGTTGGAGAATGTGCGTTGACTTTACGGATCTGAATAAGGCGTGTCCGAAAGACTCCTATCCTCTGCCGAGGATAGATCAGTTAGTAGACTCTACAAGTGGTCATGCCTTGCTCAGCTTCATGGACGCATTTTTTGGATATCATCAGATCTTCATGCACCCCGATGACCGAGCCAAAACGGCATTCATCATAAGTTCTGGGGTGTACAATTACAAGATGATGCCCTTCGGATTGAAAAATGCGGGGGCAACATACCAAAGGCTGGTTGATCAGGTGTTTGCCGAGAAAAGAGGCCGTAACATGGAAGTTTATGTGGACGATTCTATCGTCAAAAGCAAAGAAAATGAAAACCATGTTACGGACTTGGCAGAGACCTTCGCCACCCTTCATAAACACCAAATGAAGCTGAATCCGAAGAAGTGTGTCTTCAGCGTGAAATCAGGCAAGTTCCTCGGCTTCATGGTTATCAAGAGAGGGATTGATGCCAATCCCGCCAAAGTACAAGCATCTCTTGACCTCCCCGAGCCGAAAACAAGAAGGGATGTTCAGCGCCTAACTGGCAGCATGGCTGCCCTGTCCAGGTTTATCTCAAAAGCCTCGGACAAAGGACTGCCTTTCTTCAAAGCGCTCAAAATACCAAATTCAAAAGAGCTCAGCTGGGGAGACGAGCAAAAGCAAGCCTTTCAGCAACTCCACGAGCACTTAGCTCAACTCCCTACGCTGGCAAGGCCAGCCGAGGGAGAAATATTGTACTTATATGTGGCGGTCAGTCCAGCCACAGTAAGCGCGGTGATGCTAAAGGAAAATGAAAAAAACTCAGCAGCCGATCTATTTTGTCAGCCACACTCTAACAGATGCCGAGTTACGCTACCCCCTACTTGAAAAAGTTGCATACGCAGTAGTGGTAGCTGCTCGGAAGTTAAGACCCTATTTCGAATCCCATCAAATAGTGGTCCTAACTGATCAGCCGCTGGAGAAAGTCCTCGGCAAGGTAGAAAAATCAGGCAGACTAACGAAGTGGGCCTTCGAGCTCACCGAGTTCAGTGTCAGCTACCAGCCGAGGACAGCTATCAAGGCGTAAGCCTTGGCAGACGTCTTAGCCGAGTGTTCTTATCAAGAGACACTTGACGAGGGAAAAAGAGTTTGGACCGTATTCACGGATGGATCCTCCACCGTGAATGGTTCGGGGGCATGGGTCGTCATAGCCTCTCCTGAAGGCAAATCCTTCGAATATGCACTTAAATTTTCATTCAAGGCCTCAAACAACGAAGCTGAATATGAAGCGGCAATTGCCGGCTTAGAATTGTGCATGGCGTTGGAAGCCGAACATGTCTGTCTGAAGATAGACTCTCAACTTGTTGCAAATCAGATCAGAGGGGAATATGAAGCCAAAGAACCTTCAATGGTGGCTTACCTCACAAAGATCAAAGTTGTCATTGCGAATCTGAGATCTTTTGAAATAGAGCTGATCCCAAGGGGTCAAAATGCTCAAGCCGACGCACTCTCCAAGCTTACGAGTTCAACTTTAACTAAGTTGAACCGGTCTGTATATGTGGAGGTGCGCCGAGAAAAAAGCATAGCCGAATCTATGAATGTATGTTGTGCTGCACCTGAACCTAGCTGGATGGACCCCATCTTAGCTTATAAACTTAGGGATGAGCTTCCCGAAGACCGAAAGTTAGCCTCCAAGATAAAAAGAATCAGCTCAAGATTCGTTGTCTTCAGGGGCGAACTTCTTAAAAAATCCTTTTCTTCCCCATTACTGAAATGTGTAAGACCAACAGATGCAGACTATGTCCTTCGGGAAATTCACCTCGGCATCTGAGGGAATCACATAGGGGGGAAAACCTTAGCCCATAAAGCACTAAGGGCTAGGTACTTTTGGCCAACCATGATCGCTGAAGCAAAAGATCTGGCCAGAAAATGTGAAAAATGCCAAAAATTTGCACCAGTTATTCATCGGCCATCCCGAGATCTTCAGCCAATCCTGAATCCTCATCCATTCTCTCAATGGGGGTTGGATATATTGGGACCATTTCCCGAGGCTCCTTATCAGAAGAAATGGTTGATAGTTGGCATTGACTACTTCAGCAAATGGATCGAAGACG